GTCACACAATTCGTATCCGCTGTCATCCAATACAGGTGGTGCCAATCCAAATCTGGTCATGCAAGTGGATTCCGGGTTTGTATATGTGTGACCTAGCGCAGAAGCTGGTGCTTCTTCCAACATGTACCGGACATGGTCGGCTGGAAGCCGGTACTTAAGGTTTTGCCCCCGTTTTGCCCAAGTGGCACTGAGGAGAAGGTCCGACGTGGGCAATACGGCACTGATTGAAATGGGCATTACAAATCGATGATTCAAATCACACTGAAGGTCAGACCGGTAATCTTTTTGATTTGTCTGAAACACGAGAATTGTGCTTCGAGTCTCACCGTTGAACGGATTGTGCATAATTCAAAGATCGAGTGCCATAAAAGAACCAACGAGCTACATGCGCGCAAAAACGAGCGTATCCCCCCTAAGACACGGAACGCCTTCACTTTCCGAATCGCTGGGTCCTCCGTGCAAAATCCTCTATTGCTCTCGTGAAGCAAGTGGCTGTTATCCCTCGCAAAGATGGGACGTGCCTGCAACGGAGGATCGGATCGAGCTCATACTCTGACCCAGAGTGGGTACATGCTGCTCTTGCCTCACGTTTTGTTTTCATGACACTGCGACCGAATGATGCTTGATGCGGTTCGGAAAACGCCTCGTGGACCTTGAAGCACCGCCAAAAACTCCCTCAAAAAAACTTACTGAACCAGTAATATGCTGCCAAAGATTTGTATGCTGGCAGGACAACATCCTGTTTTTCAGGGCTGCAAACTTCGTCTCCAAGATTTGACAAGGTGTAAATCGGCGATAAGCGTTCCTTCAAGAGGACCTGAGAAGGCCGGCATGTCCGCAAAATGAAGCTGGTTTCAAGCCGCCCCCAGAGGCACGGCTGGCGGGCTTACACTATCTCGCTGTTCCGCAGCAGCCAAGGGGGGAAGCCGGCAAGGGTCAGCACCTTGCCAAACACGAGGACCAGCTCCGGCTCGCGGGTCACACCGCCTGCACAAGCAGCAACGGCGTCATGCAAAGACTTCTGGACCCGTATCTGAATTTCGATGGCCTCAATGAGCCCCGGGATATTGAACCAAGAATAGCGAACCCTTGCCAGAATAGTCGTCCAAAGCAATTGATAGGTTCAAGGACCGAAGACAAGAACAGCAAACAGGTTTAGTTGTCCCATCCAGAATGGATCCTTTTCAAGTCGGACACACAAATCTCAAGTATCTCATGTAAGTGAATGAAAAGCTTGAATCATGCAGATTGACGACCTGGTCCTGAGCCGCAAGAGGAGCGTGCTCACAGCATGACGAGTACAGGTAGACAATCAAAATCCTTCTTTCGTACACCAAACCTGATGGCTATTGGTTGATGAACAATCAACTTGGTGGTTGCACTTCGCAGCAGGCTTTTTACAAGGTGCACGCGCTTCCTGCAATTAGTCACCTTCAAAATTTACGGCCAACATAGGAGCATGGAGGAACATTTCTCCCCCACTTGTTACTGCAGTTCCTTTCCATCGCTCTGATAACATAAGCAAGGATGAGTCACCTGTCGCCGCCAGAGCCCGGTCAATGTCGTCCTCTTCTAGCCGCCTGACCCCATCCTCCGCACTGGCTGCTCCATGTCCTCCTTTGTCAGCAGCTTGCAGGACATGCCCGTTCTCTGCGGGCCCATTTGGCCCATGACTTCCGTGCCATGCCTCCCAGCATATCCGTTCTGCAGCGCGGCCAAGCGCATCTTTGCCGTCTGCTTCTGACAGAAAATCCACCGTCATCGAATTCTTCCGCTCCGAACGAGGCACAGGAACCTTTGGCTCACAAAGCCCTGGGGCCAAGCTGACCCCGTTGCTCCCCGCTGTTGATCCCCCCTGGCCCTGCATGCCATTGACCAACCGTCGCAATCCTCCCCCCCCGTAAATCCGGCCCGCTTTTTCGCGCCTTGTTGTAGCTTCGTCTAGCCTGTGCTTCACCTTCCTGCCATTCCTAGTCGCATCTACTCCTAAGTGCCTGTTTCTCAATTCTGAGCTCTCTGTTTGGTAACTTACAGACTCTCTGCTGCATCCTACTTGAACCCCCTCTGTATCCTGCTCACTGTGTGCAGTCCCTGCTCGCGGACCGGGCAACTCAGCCTGGCATGGTTCACACAGCCTACTGTTGACGCTCTCAAGAGCAGGCGCTCTGCTATTAACACCCTCTGACGACGCTGGCAGGCTGGGCGGGGCCTGTGTAGGGATGTACGTCGCATCTGAAGTGGGTGTCCTTGAAACACTAGCTTGCACTTGCAAAGCACTTTCCGTGTGTATAGACGCACTGTGTTCTCGCTCGAACACATACGAGTTAGCCCAGTCATCTCCCAATGCATCCATTTGCCCTAGCGACTTTCCATCACCTTCTGCTTCCCGAATGCCTCGGCAACCTTCAAAGAACCCGTTCCGCCTGCATCCCGCCCCTTCTTGAAGGCCGCCCGTGGCCTGTCCCGAGCACCCACACTCACCGCCACACCTTGCAACTGGGACTTCGTCTGATGGCTCGGGGCGCCATTCTTTCCGCTTCACCACCCCATTCTTCCGAGGAGCGCCATCGGTCCAAGGGCTTCGGTTTTTGTCAGGGACTTCGGTTTGGCAGCCATTCCCCCAGCCATTCTGAGTTCCCCTCCCTTGCTTGTGGTTAGATCTGCCCCCCCCAAGAGACTCTGACAGTGGCACCTCTGCCAGGATATGGTGACATGCTGCCTTGATCGTGCCTGGGGAAGAACAATCAGGGTTGCACATTGGAAGACTCATCAGTGACCAATAGAGTTCTCTAAGGTTGGGGAAACTAGCAAAGCCTGGTGCAATTCTGTATCCAGTAATACGATGGGTGGTGGTAACTTGCCTAGCGGTCCATCCTGAATCTTTATCTGCACTGGCGGCAGGCTGCAATTGCAGCACTGGTTTACCAGGCTGGTACTTTGAAGGCACATTTCTACAGCAGGAGGTCAAAAAGAGTTCAAAGTGGTCCTGGAATACAAGTTGGGGTATGTCAAAGTAATCCAGACACGTGGCAGGCACTAAACAAGTATCATACAAGAAAACGATGCCACACTGTCTGGTGGCGATGTGGAGGAGGCGTACTTGCATACCTCTCATCATTGTTCTTACAAGCTGCTGTCACCACATTTGCTGAATATATTACAATGTAACAAAAGTGGTGGAGTGACAAAGCATTGCAGTGATGGTTTCTACCAAGACGTGCAACATCCGCAGGGTTAAAGGCGATTGCTCACCTGCGGCATCATACACTGCAACATGCTCCACTCCCACATCCCGGCACAACGCCAGCACTCGGTGTAGATCTATCAGGCAGTCCCTCGCCTCTGATTCACTGACAATCAAAGCAACAGCTAGCGGCCGCTTGCCAGGAAGCTGTGCCTGGGGATTCAGGCCTGCCAGCACACCTCCATCTTCATTGCCTCTCCACAGCCTTTTCAAGAAACTTGAGCAGAGGGCGAGTGCAGCGAGAATCACAAGGTAGCAGTGATACGTTTGATGGAGCAGCGATAGAAGCAGACGCGCTCCAAGTCGAGGCATCGGACCAGCAGAGAGAGCACATCAGCGCCACAAGCGTGGCTCCCAGAGCACGCCCTCCTGATATGGAAGAGACAGCCCCCTTATATGCCTCTTTCTGTTCCATCCACCCCTCGTGCCAGTGGACCACAGAAGGGAAGCCATGCAGCTTGAGCACGGTTGTAGTGTGAACAGGCACACCTTGTCACCTGGGTACTTGATTCAATTAGCGAGAGGTAATGGTTCATATCTGACACATGCTTTGTTTGGAAGGGTTCAAACGCTTCCATTTTAACTCTGCGTGCCATCAAAATGGTAATGGCAAGGCGAAGCATCCCGCCAATCACAGGCGTTCAACACCTCACGCAAGGAAGTACCCACCTGCGCTCCCCCCCTCAACGAAAATTAGGGTTTGGAGGGAGCCCCCTGGCCCGCCCCATTTGGCATCAAAAAGTTAGTGCTCAAAAGCTTCCTCTCCACTACTGAATGTTGCCAACTTTTGGTTGCTAGCGCCCTTTCGACATCATCAACCATCCACCTTGCCATGAGCTGGCACCATGCGCGTCCCTGAGTTGAGCGCACAAAGCAGGAAGCAACTGAAAGGAGGCCTGAAAAAGGGGATGAAAGAAGATTTGCGCAGATGCCAGCGCTCAAGTTCCCAGCAGGGATGCCAGCACACCAGTTGTGAGGCAGCGGGGTGCCTGCTGGTGCCCGGTGCAGCGCTGCTACTGGTGGTGCTGCAGCTAGCGCTGCTGCTGGACCTGGCAGCAACAGGTAGGCAGCGGTCTTTGGGGCGGAAGACGCACACAGTGTGTGATGCATCTTTTCATCTGTTTTCATGTTCAGATTTGGAGGGTTCTGCAGAGGGGACGCCTGATTGTTGTTTTCCATGCTGGTGTCAAGTCACTCTTCAAAATGCACGAATACTTCAGCGTCCCAGCTTTCACAAGCTGCTGTTTGATGCTTGGGACAGGATAGCATTTAGCCTGCCCCTTCTCTTCTACTTTTTGATATCTAGCAGCACTTTCTTCCACTCGCGCTCTGGGGCCCGCCAGCTCTTATCCCTGGTGGTGCGCTGAAACGTTTTGTCGAAGGGGCAGTTTCGAGGTCTTTGCTCCAGGTCGAAATGTTTATTTTCTTTCTGCCTTTCTGCAGGGTCTGCTGCTGCTGCTGCGCTGATTGATGCGCCCCCCGTGCCTGATGTTGTGTGCGATGCGGAGGGTGCGGCGTGCGTCCACCTTGAGCCAGACGCACCACCAGTAATCACGGAGCGGGATCTAGGGATTGGCCTGTTCTCGCCAGTCAAGGGAAGCGCTGTTAACTCACCAGACAAGAAGCAAGAAACCGTAACTGGGATCCAGTCTGGGGAGCGAGAGGCGCGGTCAGAACAGGGAGGGGGAGATGAGGTTTTAGTTAGTGGCGACAGCAATGATGAACGAAGTAGCGGAAGCCAGGGTGAAACTGGTGGAGAAAGGGCACCGCAGGACGCTGTGGATGGCGACGCATCGCCATCAGATCCTGACGTGGATGCAGACCGCGCTCAAGTGCAGCTTGTAGAAGCAGAAAAGAGTGAAGAAGCGAACGATGCTTTTTGCGCGGGGCGGAAGGACTCTGGCCGCGGTCAGTGCCAGTGGGAAGGGGATGCGCTGCGCTTCCCAGGCTGGGAGGGAGACGGATGGGCCTTGCTGTGCACGTTGGTACCGGAGTCAGAGCTTCGCAGGATGGCGGAGCTGACCCCTGGTGACGACTCTGCGGAAGATGCCCCTCGGACGCTCTCAGACCCCCCTCCCGGGCAAGAGCTGCAGGTTCTCGACACAGCCCCCAGCACGCGGCCTCCCCGGGTGGCCCCCATTGGGCTGGACGAGTACCGGAAGGCCGCGCTCCAGCAGCAAGAGCAGGCTCCGAACGCGTCGGAGGCTGCCCCAGGGGGGGCGCCCCCGGCGCAGAAGCGCGTGCATCCTGAAGGGCCGCGATTCAACTATGCATCTGTGACGGCGGGTGCAAAGGTGGTTGCTGCGAACAAGGAAGCAAAGGGGCAAGGCAACGTGTTGGACGAAGACAAGGACAAGTATTTGCGCAACCCGTGCAGCGTGGATGACCAGTGGGTGGTCATCGAGCTCACGCAGGACACGCGCATTGATACGGTCGTGCTCAGCAACTACGAGTTCTACGCCAGCGGGCCCAAGAACTTCTCGCTGTCTGGCTCGCAGACATACCCGAACGACGGGGCGTGGACCCCCCTGGGGGAGTTCACCGCGCAGAATGTGCGCACGCCGCAGAGCTTCGAGCTGTCGGAAAACGCGCAGAGCGCCTGGGTGCGGTACCTGCTGGTCAAGTTGTTGAGCCACTACGGGGCCGAGTTCTACTGTACCCTCAGCCTGGTACGAGTCCATGGAACGGATGCGCTGGAGAGTTTCCGGGAGGAGCTTGTTGAAGCGATGCGGGAGGCGGGGACCGATGCGCCGGTCGGGATCGAGGGCGGTGCGGAGACCGGCCAAGGGGCGGCCAATCAGGGAAGCGGTCTGGCTGAAGAGATGGCCGCTTTAGTTGGCGGGGAAACCGAGAGGAATAAAGCAGAAGGGGGGCTATCGGGAGAAGACGAAGTAGATGAACTTTTGCGTTCGCCAGCGGAGCTGGATGCCGCGCAGACAAAAGAGGGGCTTGCGAGACACGGGGAGGCGTCAGTGAGGGAGGAAGGAGAGAGCGGCGCAAAGAGTTGGGGCGTCAGGGTGGCGGAGAAGGCGGCCGCTGTCGTAGACGCCGGCGCCACGAAAGACGGGTGTGAAGTACTAGAGGAGATTGCCAGCAGGAGGAGTTCCACTGATCGGGGCAATAGCACTATTGAAAGCAGTCCACAGGCCAGCACGGCTGCTTCCGACAAGGTGAATACAACGACTTCCCCACCGACCGCACGTGAAACGAAAGAGGCGAATGCAAACAGAACGGAAGATACTCAGACGCCCTCAAACGCAACGGACGATACTGCCAGGCTAGGGAACGGGGATGCAACGTCTTCAACGACGCCAGGGACCGCAAATCAGACGGCGGCCGCTGCCGCCTCGCTGACGTCAGCCTCGGGGGCCCCGACGTCAACAAGCGGGCCGGCCACGGGAACCGGGTGGCGGGGCGGTGCGGGGAGCACGAACGGGCGGCAGGGGGGCGACTTCGTCCTGAGAGTGTTGCTGCAGCGGCTGAAGGGGCTGGAGGTGAACGCGAGCTTGTTCGAGGGGTATGTGGCCGAGACGCACCAGCAGTTCTCGCACTCGCTCAACGACCTGGACGCGGACATCGAGGCGCTCGCGAGCCGGCTGAATGCGACGACGGCAATGGCCGCCAAGATGTGGGCACGCCTGCACGCAGTGGTGAGCGGCTCGGCATCGTTGTCATTTTCGGATGGGCGCGTTCGACTTGATAGCTGACGTTGACGGCAGACACGAAGTAAACAGCGTCAGCACAAAGAAGGCTGGCTGATGCGATTTCAAGAGAATGCGGTGTTGAGTATCTGCCAGCCAGTTGCATGATGTATACCGAAGCCTTTTTCAGCGGCTGTTGTTGTGCATTTCGAACGGCGAGCTCTTATTGCAAAAACGCGTGCCTCGTTCTTGTCCGCGTAGTGTGAAGGTCTTTAGGTACACCAGGATTAAATTGAACAGGCAAATCATGATTCAAGGCCCCCTGCCTTCCTGGTGCAGGACGAGGCCCGGATCCGCGCCCTTGAAAGCAGGGACGACCTCTTGGTGACGCAGGTCGCAGAGCTGACCACCACAATCGCGCAACTGAGGTACGTGCCACTTTCTTTCTTCCTTTGTGTTCTTGCCAGAATTTTCGTATACCTCGTCCTTTTGCCATAATTTGGAGCTGCTTGACCGTCTTCTTTTGAGACGCAGCTTTTGGTGTTGATAATTAGCTCTGGCGTCGAACAAAACATCAGCAATCCGTTGACTTGCTCTAGGCAGCCTTCCGCATAATATTCTGTTTCTTTCCCGTCACATTATCAGCGCGCTGTCATACCATCATTCTGTCTTGCAATTGATTATAATCTACTCCATCGGTGCAGGCAAAGTTTGTCCGAGCTGGTGTTCGCCTTTCTGTGTTTGTCGTGTTTAACGGTCATGCTACTTGTAGCTCAATGTTGTCGCCGTCGAACCAAACAGGACTGATCGAGATCAGACAGAGATCATGTTATCGTTCGACGTAAGCCTATCGCAAGGAGTTTTCACAGTATCCATTCGACCGTCCGTGTCCTAGAAGCCTAGTGCTAGTCATCGCGGGCTGCAGCGCTGGGGGTGATCATACCATCTCAAATGCAAACCTAAATTTTCCGTATAGCATGGCCTCGACGCCGGCGGCCACGATTAGATGGTAGTCATGAATGCAGCCACCTGCTGCCGCCGGCCCGCGGCAAACTTGACTTTGTAAGTACCATGTACGTACGTGCGACATGAAAGTAATCACTTACATGCAAGTGGCATAGCATACATTCGCGATCGAGGCAGCCTGCAACTTAATGCGTCATTTCTAGCCTCATGATATAAGAACTTGTGCGCAGCACGCCATGCATGAGGTTCGGCGGCGGCGGGGGCCTCCGGCCTGCCGTGCAATTGGATATTGGTTAAAGCTGCTTGCTAGCTGACGTATGTACGCCGGACTATGAGCAGCTAGCCTGTTTATAATCTATAGTGGTACGTGCCCATGTATACAATAAAGACGCTTGCCCTTCTGGGCGCGGTTCCATTCAATGGTTTGGCGGGCTTTGAAATTGACGACACAAGGTAGCTGCGTACTGCAGGTTCGACATGCCATGATGCATACCGTATAGTCCATTGCTGGCCCGTGGCCAGTGCTACATACATTCAAGAATACCTCAAGAACGTCTTACGGCGCTCTGCAATAAGTTGTATATACGCAAGATCGAAGAACTGGCTAACGACTTTCAGTGGCATTGACCAGACAGACTGGCACCCGGCGGTCGAGGACACACAGAGAACCTGTGAATCCTACTGAGTTGGATATCAGAAGTCCGACTTCAATTGACAATGTAAGACACGACCGCTCTCCCTTGAATTCTTCCCTGGCGACTTTCTCATAGCTAGGCGTGCGTACCCAAGTAGATGGCGGCCGTGCACCACGGCCTTGGCACCAAGCTCCTAATTGGTGGGCAGCTCGCATACTTGTAATCTTTTCTATATAAAAAAAGGCCAACAAGCTGCTGACGCTGCAGTCTCCTTGATGCAGGAAGAGTTTGATGGCTGTCAAAGTGATTTAGCCCCGAGCTAGAGCTGTTCGGTGGTTCAGTTGACCATGTTGAGATTGAACCTTGACAATTGTTGAGGTATGGAGGAGATCACTGGCCCGTATCTCTGCAAGAGGAGAGAGGAAATGAAAGACTCAGAATACATTCCAAGGACGCCATATTTCATTTCGAAACTTCGGCTCCAAGTACCAAACAGCACGTCACTCGGGACGGTTCTTGTCCGGGGCGACAATCTCAAGCGGCTTGCAGCGCCTCTGAAAAGCACCTGGCTGCGACTTACTTGGACGTTGTCGTACAGCTCGAAGAGGGGGACTGCCAGGAGTTTCAGGTTTTTAGGCACCTGCGCAAACACCGAAGACACGGTCTGAGATAGAGCGTAAGCGCACAAAACGAAACAAGCCGTCAAATACAGCGAGAAACTACACTCACAGTCAACCATTGACAAAGAAAGCACCACAAAATTCCGATCAAAGCGGGTGCTTCGAGCAACTCCTCAAAAAGCACCCTTCGCCTAAGGAAGAGGCACCAGAAAGAGGGATAGGCGAGGAATTGACCCTCCCACTGCTTAATCCCGGCGAATCAACTTGGCAAGCAGCGCCCACAATGGTCGAGTTTCCGGGCCAAAGATGGCACGTACTACAGCGGCACGGAGCGGCCACGTCGCAACATACGGACGGCGGAAGATAACGATCGGAGGCGGTTTGCCGACTCACCGCAAAGAAGCACTTTTCGGGAAGGGGCACCAAGAACAGCTTTTTACACTCCTGCAGGGGCCACGTCCGAGAAAAGAAGGCGTCAACGGGCAAGCGGAACGTCGCCTGTGAAGTCGCGCAAGAAAGAACCAGGACAAATGTGTTTCGAGAGACAATAGTTGACCGATAACTGCTCATCAAGCGCCCTGTGAACCCCATCGAACGAGGCGCTCACCGTAGTGCATCGCCAGATGTCTTCCTGCTTGTCATGTCTCATTGCAGTCAATATGACCAGAGTGTTTTTTGGTTCGTATTGACTATGCATCCGGGTGCAGACTGAAGGATATGCAAGAGCTCATTTTGCAACCTTCTTCTCGCCTTTTACACCTTCTTATCCAATCCCCAACATTTTCGGGCTTTTTGGCAGAGCAATCTCCTCGAACCTTCCCCGCCAGGCTTTGCAATCGCAAGACCAAGCAGAGTCCTGCACGCCCTTTTCAGAGCTGCGCCAGAGCATCGGCCGTATAGCCGCGCTCGCCCGACCGCTCACTTTGGGCTTGCTGATGTGGGGCGGGACGTATGGGTACATGTTCGTCTCGAAATGGGGCCGCCACCAGATCTCTGCGCACTCTCCGATCTGCCGAATCATTGAAACACCAACGGGTTACTCTTGCAAGGGGATTGCTCGCGGCCTAGCAAGCAATACGGGCAGACACGTGTCCAAGGACCGCTGCGGAGGTGTTGAAAAGACGACAATCTACAAGCAACTTCGACGAACCCAAGAGCTTTCTGTGTGCCCAGAATCAGCGAGCAGAACAACACGTCATGCAGCGTTCTGCGGTAAGACATTGCTGGATATATCGCAGCCATTTTTCCCAAAGGAGCCCAGAAGACCGCATAGCAGCTGACTCTACTGAATGCCCCACCATGTCACCACAAAGGACTTGCGACCTTGGCAACCTTGTGAGTGCTTCTCATTCTTGTCGCCAATCAGAGGTAACCACAGTCTGTTTCAAGGACACGCTGCAATTTGTGCCCTCGACTGCCGTCCATACAAGTAGCTTGGCGAAAAGGGCAATGACAAGTACTATAGAGGCGGTTGTGGACCTGGAGGGCTACTGACCTCCCACTCTTGCTTCAGAGCGGACCCCTCCGGCGACAGCTTGCTGCTGAGCTTCCGCTTGAGGCCAGCAACCTCTGCAGCCAAATGCGCATACACACTGAGTCTGCAGTGACGCCACAAGGACGCCACAAGTCGACTCGCAAAAAAACGAGTAGGCCTGTAACCGGGATTCGGTGACGTTCGTTAGAGTTGCTGTGCGTCCAATGCTGAAGCCCTTTCTAAGTAACGACAAGTGAATTGCTGCATTCTCCCCCCTCCATATCGGAAATAAATATGCCCCCTCTGAGATTCAGACGTGTGGCCATCACTCAACATAGCAAGGAACCTCTCTGGCTGGCTTTCCTTGCATTCGGTTGCCAACGGTTCTCTTGATTTTGTTGCATTACAGAAGCCAGGTACGAGAGGTCACTTTTCAAGGGTTCATTGCTCACCGTCTTCGCCGGGCTTGAGCCGGCCGCCTGGCAGCTTGAAGAAGGAGTTTCCAATCTGCAGAAGGAGCACGTGGGGGTGCTTGTGCTGCTGCACCTGCATCTCACGTAGTCAGGGAAGATAACGCTCGTAAGAATGCTCAGCTTTAAGAGTCCAGTGAGGGGTCAAAGCCGCTTCCTGTTCAAAATCAGCACCCTTAGAATCTGGATCTGGCGTTCATCTTGCAGCATGATGAATATGTCTAGCAAGTTTCAGCGACGGAGAGGCACTGCCCAATCTGTTGATGCAAGGAAGCCGCTGCTTTCTTTTCAATCAGGTAGAAGCCACTGCTACAGGCATGTAGCTGACACGCACGTGCCGGGCAATCCAAGACCTGGTTCCTCGTCACCAGAATCTGCTCACCAGCAGGATGCCGTCCACACTGGTGCGCATGCCCTCCGTGGCGTACCTGCACAGACAGCGACTTAATTGAGGCAGGAACCCTGAGGAGGCCCATATCGAGCCAGAGTTCAGATAAAGTTGGACGTCAATCTCGCAGTGCAGTCAGTTTTATATGGCGCCATAGTACTGGTGTTGAGTTTAATAATAAAGGTCCGTTGAACGAAGCGCTCATAAGCACCACTCTTCCAAAACGTCCAGTGAACTGGCAAGGTCTTGAAGCCAGATTTTGTCTACTCATGGTGGTGGCACGCAGGGTCGATTCTTAGTACCAAGGTGATATGGTGAACCCAGATCTTGCAATAGAAGTTTATGTTTGTACACAGCTAGTTGTGGGCGCACAAGATATGATGCTCTGTGAATCCAATACACACTACTGATTAAAGCACATTGCTGTCCTTCAAGACTAACCTCTCGACAGCCCACAAGAAACACTACTATTCCATCATTCACGAGCAGGACGCAGAAAAGAATTGAAAACATGTTTATTGATTGTAAAACGCTCCACTCACGTGTCTTTCATACGGTGCAGCCTCTCTGCCACTGAGGCATCTTTCTCCCTGCGGGGTTCCTTGCTCCCAAATGTGTAGTTCTCCAGCGGATATACGTTGATGGTGGGCCGCACCACCATCGTGCGAGCGACCCGCTAGGCCGGTGAGAGCTCTTATTAAAGGCTGATCATGCACTATGGTCCAGTTCCAGCAAACTAATAGGCGACTTTGTAATGAGCCTCTTTCCTGTCAAGACACTTGATCGCTGCTTAACTGCAACAGAGCTCTTGCAAGGGACTGGTGCATTGAAAGGAGATATGTGCGAGTCAATGGCAGTGATGTTTCTAGGCCCTTGTACCTCTGCTTCAGAATGCAATGAGCATTCTCTTTCTTTGCCAGGGGATTGACCAGATTCCAGCGTTACCGGCACCTTGACAAGCTGGCTGCCACCGCTGGTGCCCGCAACAGCAAGTTCGGCCGGTCCCAAGCAGTGCAGGCCTTTTACTCGGATCAGGAGCTTGGCAACGACTTTTGTAGCCCCTGCCCGCCTCCCGGAATGCGGAATCACGAGCTTCAAGCTGAGAGTGGAATGAAGAGGAACTGTTCAAAGGTTGCGAGCTATTAGGTTCTGGGATTCCCTTATTTAGGGTTTGCGAAGTGAGCTGGTTGGAGGAGCTGGGGGATCCCCCTGCGCGCTTTGTGAGTTGTTCGGCCGCCGGCGCGGCGCCGCGAGCGCGTGTCACGGCCCAGGTCGGAGGCTCAATATTCGCTAGGCGGGCCTGCTCCGACTCACAACCGGTCCGGACCCTAGGAAATCCAACTCACGAGAGGCTATCGAACAGCAATTCTGAAGTCTCAGCTATGTAACGCTTCGGAGGCCCGGATTTTGAGTCGGAGTCCCCAGCGAATTTGAGGCTATGGGCCTCGTGCGCGGCTTGTAGCCTCGGGATACAGTGAGTGTAAGTCAGTGTTCAGTGGAAACGAGGCCTTTCGGTGAGTCGAAAATCACCGAGTTCCGTGGAAAATTTTAAATTTCGATAGGTACCTACCGGATACGGTCCCGGGGTCACTCGGCCGCACTGAATTCAGTGTTCCCGACCACTTTCTGGATTCAGCCGGGCTATCTTACAATACCCGGGGGCAGTGCAGCCCCACTTTTGCACCTGAGTTCTAAGGCAGAGCTTCGTGAGTTTCGTTCGACAGGTCCAAATTTGCGATGTAATGGTTTAAACTGAAATCCGGCCGTGCGATGAACAATTTGACGGCGCACAATGACGGAAAAGTCCATCGAACCATTTGCCCGGGACCGGTTGTGCTCCACTTCACCCGGGGACTTCACCGATCATCGCAACTAGGGAACGTGAAAAAATGTGAAACCTGGGTCATGCGTTGCGCGTGCGAGAATTCAGGTAAAAGTCCCATCAACAACCTCAATTTCACACACGAGCCCGGTATAAATGGGTCGGCAACGCCAACAGTCCGAAGATATAAGAGTCCGGTCTCGGTCTAGGATCCTCCTACCCTAGACAAAGTGTGCAAGTCTGCAGTGCGAACTCGGTCGCAC